TTTTGCAAATATCTTTTCCCGTTCACTAGGTTGCTGTTTCATTTTCATTCCCCGTTCAGTAAGTTTTCCTTTATTGTGCATAAGCCTTTTGGTTTGGTGAAGTCCCATTTGTTTATTTTGGCTTTTGTTTCCCTTGCCTTTGGAGTCAGATTGACTAAGAATGTCACTAAGACTGATACCGATGAAGTTACAACTTGCACTTTCTCTTAGGAATTCCATGGTATCAGATCTCACATTCACGTTTTTAATCCATTTTGAGTTAATTCTTGTATACGGTGTAAGTTAGTTGTCTGGTTTCATTCTTCTGCAAGTGGCTGTCCAGTTTTCCCAGCACCATTTATTGAAGTTACTGTCCTTTCTCCATTGCACGTTCATTTCTCCTTTGTGTAGATTAACTGTCCGCGTGTGTTGGGTTTATCCCCGGGCTCTGCATTCTATCCCATTGATCCGCGTGTCTGCTTTTGGGCCAGTACCACACTGTTTTGATTACTATAGTTTTGAAATTTGAAATCAAGGGGCTTGATGCCTCCAGCTTTGTTCTTTCTCAAGATTATTTTGGCTATTTGGACTCTTTAGGATTTTCATATAAATTTTAGAATTATTTATTCTAGTTCTGTGAACTATGCCATTGGCATTTTGATAGAGACTTCTTTGAGTAGTATGGACATTTTAGTAAGACTATATGTTTTTAGAAATTTAACCATTTCTTCTAGGTTGTCCAGTCTGTTGGTGTATAATTTTCTTGCAGATAGTCTCTTCTGTAGTATTGGTTGTAATTTCTCTTTTATTTCTGACTTTATTTGAACCTTCTCTCTCTTTTTTTTTTGATTAGTCTAATGCATGTTGATTTTGTTTGCCTTTTCAAAGAAGCAGCTCTTAGTTTTATTAACATTTTCTATTGTATTTTTAGTCTCTTATTTATTTCCTCTCTGATTTTATTATTTTTTCCCTTCTACTAATTTTGGGCTTTGTCCTTTTTCCAGTTACTTTAGGTATAAAGTTAAGAGTGTTTACATGGAATTTTTGCTTATTACTTGAGGCAGCCTGTATTGCTAGGAACTTCCCTCTCAGAACTACTTCTGCTGCATCTCTTAGATTTTGGTATGTTGCATTTCTGTCCTCATTTGTCTTTAGATTTTTTTTTATTTCTTCTCTGATTTCTTTGACTCATTGGTTATTTAGTAGCACATTGTCTAATCTCCATGTTTTTGTGGTTTTTCCAATTTTTTTCCCTCATTATTGATTTCTAGTTTCACACCATTGTGGTTGGAAAAGGTGTTTGATATGATTTTAACTTTCTTGAGTTTGTTGAGAGTTGTTATTGAGACTAACATGTGATCTTCAGCCCACCTCCTGGGCCAACTCTGATATCTAACTTTCACCTTACAGGTTGACAAGAGGAGGTGAGTATTGTCTTTAGAACACATGTATGCCTATTTTCAGGGAACACTGGTATTTCATCTTAAAATAAAATGGCCGACTAAATTTTCTATTTAAGATATGAAGAAGTGACTATTTCAAGCAAGTAGGGTTAAAGGAGATAAAAAACTGCAAAATCTCATGTTTTTTATCCTCTTGGAAGGATTTAATTTGTTCCCCAAAACTGTCTGACAATGATTTAATGTGGCTTAAACTATTCTTTCTGTGTCTTTATATCTTGTTTTGTTTTTTAATATCCTCCACTTAACCAAATGCTGCAACCAGGAAATCTAATCTGTACAGAACGTTATCACATGCTCTCCATGCTCCTCCAAGGAATGTGGTCTCCACATTGGTAGGTTGTATAAAATACCAGCAAATGGGTTTTGAGCCAGTTGTGCTTAATTTAGGACTCAGTTTTCAGAGAATCTGGATTTTCCAGCGTAATTGAAGGAGGCCAGTACTCAGAGCTAACGAATATGCCTCCATCCTCAAGGGCCTTGGTGAAGTGAGCTCTGTTATAACTGCCACTAAGCTGGGAACTAGATGTAAAGGACCATTGCAAGCAGCTTTCACTGGGTTCTTGCACAGGCGAACAAAAAAGAAAATAACCTTTGACAAAACTGGTCTTCTGTGTCTCTAGCTTCCCTTGCTGCCCCACTTCTATCTGCATGTCAAACCTTCTTTCAGTCTGAGGGCCAGTGTATTTCTCCTTCCAAGCCCTCTCCACCCATTAACATAAGAAAGGTCCTGATGTGATTGTTCACATTTTGTTGAATCGCATTTTGACTTCTTTTAGCTCTTCCAGGTGTTTCTCTTTTTAAGTGTAACTTCTGTTTCCCTAGGACTCACCTATCAACCAATAAGTGAGAAATTAAATCATTGATTTCTTGATCTGACCTGCTGGCATAAGATTCTCTACACTCCCATGCCGATCAAAACCTCACCCCAGTTCATCCTCAGAGTCCTTCAGGACGGTCTGTATACTCAGAGGCACATCTCTTTCTGTTCTTCCGTCTGGCCTTCCAGGGATGGCCTTACTTACCTCAAAAGCAATTTGGAAGGGGTACCGCCCCACTTCCTTGGCTGCCGATAACCTTTATGCAGATGGTACCTCCCTGACTAGGGTACAATCTGTGCACTTTTTCCAACTGCACAACTTCAAGGTGTCAAGTTACATGTCCCTTCTTTCAGTTCCCACTGTGTTTAAGGTGGTGTTTTGTGAACCAATGGGTTGAATGTCCCCAAGTTGTTGCAATCTGTCAACTGGGACTTCAAGCAACTTTGCTTTGGCCTCCGATCTCACAATATCCATCTTGAAGAAAGTTCCTTTGGCTTCTACTGACCGTTTTGCTTTGTGCTGTTTTGTTCTGTTTTATTTTTTTAGGGAAATAAGAACTTACTGATACAGTTAAAGCCTATAGTCTACACCTCCCCATTTTCTTTCTCGTTTTCCCTCCTAGAGGTGACTGTGATCACCTGAAATTCATGCTTACTTTTCTTAAGTATATTGTCTGTTATTACCACATAGTATAAATGTATAAATTATACGTTGCATTGTTATGTATGTTTTAAACTTTATACAAATGATATTATACTATACTCATTTTCCCCCAATTTAACTTTTTTGATTAGTTATGTTTTTGAGATTTATCTGTATTGATGCATATAGTTTGTACTCCACTGTACAACATCACAATGTAGTTGTCCATTCCTCTGTTGGTGGATATTTGTTTCTAGCTTTTAGCCATCAGCTACTGCAAACAATGCTTCAGTATTTTTTTTTCTTTTAAAGGGATTTGAAGCAATTGCAGTGAGGAAAATTTAGAATAAGGAAGCAGTCTTCAGAGATCAATATAGTTATAGTGTCACTGAAGGTCAGAGTGTTTGAGGTGGGGCACAGTTTGGGAGAAGGTGGTAAGAAGAGTTTCTTTCTCCCACCTGGACTATCCCTTCCTTTCCTCTTATCTCCTCCCTAACTCTAACAACTTTTTGCCTCCTTTCTTTCTGCCACCAAGACTCTCCTATATTGTCAATCCAGAGCCCATCTGATCTCTTAGAGTAGACACAGTCTGCTTTTGGAATTAGATAGACCTGAGTTAAAATACTGCCTCTACCTCTCTGAAAGTTTAAACAAAGTGGTATAACGCATCTAAACTTCTTCTCATCCATAAAAATTAAGATGATATCAACGTTACAGTGTTACTGTGATGAGTAGAAGATAATATCTGGGACCTTGGGCAGACTGGTCTCTCCAAAGACAGCTGGAGTATGTCCCCTCCTGTTGAATCTGGGGGGCTCAGTGACTTCGGGACCTTTGACATGATTTCTTCTGCTGGGCAATCAACTTCTTAAATGCAGACTCAGGCCTCTGAGAGAGAATCCCTGGAAAGAGAAAGTAGAAACTGTCAGTCTCAAGGGCAAGCCTGGAAATCAGTATCAGTGCAGAGTCTCTTTCATCATCTTCCGTTAGTCAAAGCAGCAGTGGATAACTGGACAGCCTCCTAGCTGATCTCTCCTCCCTTCAAGCCTATTAATGATCTCCCATTGCATTTAATATAAAATAACTCCAGGTGTAAGGCTCTGAATTTCTCTACCCCCATTTCATACCACTTTCCCCTGCTCAGTATGCCTCAGTTGTGTTTCAGTTCTTTTGCAGATAGCAGACCACCCAAAAACTCCATGGTTTAAAGCAACTGTTTTCTATCTCACAATTCTTCACTGTGGAATTTCAAGGGAAGAGGAGGGTTATTCTTCTGGTTTTGCCTGGACCCATTCGTGCAGCCGGATTTAACCAGAGGATTGGTAGGGAGCTAAGTTCCACTGGGACTCTGGGATAACCTGGTTTTCTCTCCAAGTGGTATTTCCATTTGAAGGAGGCAAAACCAGGCAAGGCTCTTTCTCATGGCTCATCTGTCTCAGATAAGCACTTACCAAGCTTCTGTTGTGTGTCGGCATCCCACTGGCCCAAAAAGTCACAGGACCAAGCCTGGAGTCAGTGAGGGAGGGGGCTTCACACAGGCACGGGCACCAAGAGGAAGGATTCACTGGGGAGTCATTAAAAATGTGACAGGACCCAAAGGCCTGATTTCATTTCCTAGAACACACCAAGTTCTTTTCCACCTTAGGGTCTCTGCAGATTTTCTTTATTCATTCAACAAATATTTAGATACCTACAGGGACTGGACGAAATGCTCAGGGCTCTTATGAAGGTTTCCATCTAAAGAGGGGAAACCCACAATAAGCAAGAAAACAAAGTAATTTTAGGTGGCAATAAGAGCTCTGAGGATCAGCAAATGGTGTTGGGAAAACTGAACAGCAGCATGTAAAGCAATGAAGCTAGAACACTCCCTTACATCATACCCAAAAATAAACTCAAAATTGATCAAAGGC